ACACACACCCACACACCACACACACACACACACACACACACACACACACACACACACACACACACACACACACACACACACACACACACACACACACACACACACACACACACACACACACACACACACACACACACACACACACACACACACACACACACACACACACACACACACACACACACACACACACACACACACACACACCACACACACACACACACACACACCACACACACACACACACACACACACACACACACACACACACACACACACACACACACACACACACACACACACACACACACACACACACACACACACACACACACACACACACACACACACACACGTTTATGCCTAAACGTGTTATAATAGACCTTTAAAGAGTCCGGGCTTCCTGTCCGTACCTGAAGTCTGCGGTGGCGCTGAAGGACTCGTGCTCGGTGATGGAGAACAGCAGCAGGAAGCCCTCTCCACTCCTGAAGTAATTGTCTCTGATGGCGGCGTAGTCCTCCTGTCCCGCCGTGTCCAAGATATCGATCTGAACGTCTTCCCCGTCCAGAACCACCTTCTTCCTGTAGCTGTCGGCCTTCGTGGGCTCGTAGTCCTCCACGAACTGCAAGAGGAAACCACATGATTTATACAATTATCGTTCACCAGAGTATTTTTAAACACGAGTATCTGTACTTCTACTTGAGTAAAGGATGTGTGCCCCAGTGGCTGATGGGTAATGTAGTTCAGGCTCTCACCTCGTCGTACATGAACTGTAAGGTGAGGGCGGACTTCCCGACCCCCCCGCTGCCCACCATGATCACTTTATGAAGCGCCAGAGACGTCTGGTTCTTATTCTTCCCCGACGCCATTCTGACCAATCAGAGCCGCTGAGGAAATACACAAATCGACAAATATAAATTAATACCATCCATCCATCTTCTCCCGCTTATCCGTGGTCGGGTCTCGGGGGTAGCAGTTCCAGCAGAGAGCCCCAAACTTTCTTTTCCCTGGCGACATCAACCAGCTCTGACTGGGGGGTCCCAAGGCGCTCCCAGGCCAGCGAAGAGATATAATCCCTCCACCTGGTCCTAGGTCTACCCCTTGGTCTCTTCCCAGCTGGACGTGCCTGGAACACCTCCCTAGGGAGGCGCCCAGGTGGCATCCTAACTAGGTGCCCGAACCACCTCAACTGGCTCCTTTCGACGCGAAGGAGGAGCAGCTCAACTCCGAGTCCCTCCCTGATGACCGAACCTCTCACCTTATCCCTAAGGGAGACACCAGCCACCCTGCGGAGAAAACCCATCTCGACCGCTTGTATCCGCGATCTCGTTCTTTGGGTCATGACCCATCCTTCATGACCATAGGTGAGGGTAGGAACGAAAATGGCCCGGTAGACAGAGAGCTTTGCCTTCTGGCTCAGCTCCCTTTTCGTCACACGGTGCGGTAAAGCGACTGCAGTACCGCTCCCGCTGCTCCGATTCTCCGGCCCATCTCACGCTCCATTGTTCCCTCACTCGAGAACAAGATCCCGAGATACATAAATAAATTAATACATTTAAATGTATTTATGCAGTCATTAATATTTTTAAAAACCTCCTGGATAATGAGCATGTGCTAAAATATTTTTTAAAAGCTTATTGTCCTTTAAAATAAATCCAAGACATTTAAAATATGTTCATTTGAGGTTATGATATTCAGCAGCCAGCTAAAATTCAGAAGCGATGATTAAAATGTGTCTCCATTTGAATATTTAAGCAGTCATTAATATTTGTAAAAACCTCCTGGATAATGTGCATGCCCTAAATTATTTTTAGAAAGCTTATTTTTCATTCAAATAAATCTAAGAAATGTTAAATATATTAATGTAAATTACACTTACCGAGCTCTTAAAGCACTTTACAACAGGCCTGTAAGAGAAATGTGTTACACATGTTATCAACCTGACAATAACAGTGGTTACACACTTATTAAACCTGTATCATGTGTTAATTATATTCATTTTAGTGCAATCATTTCAGTTATTTCAGTAAGAAAATGACATTTAACCTAGTCAAATCTTTACATGTATTGTAGAGCATTAAATACAATGATTTTAGTGCATTAATAAGGTGTATTCTAGTGCGAAATGTGTCTTTAATGAATGGTTTGCAGGTTTATGCAGGACGTTATCTCAGAATGGAGTATTTTAAGTGTTTCACGAGTACTTTTTCTGCAGATAAATACCTGCATACTTGTCCCAGCACTTACACCCTCCTCTAATAGAGTGTGTGGGTGATAAAGAGCCACTGTAAACACACACTGCGGTGTAAACACACACTGTGAGTGGACAGTGGACACACACACACTTCACAGTGACCTTTATGGCTGTAATGCGGGCTGCAAGGACAATAAAATGAGGGCAGAAACGAAAAATATGACCTGTTTTTACTGTAAAATCAAGCTGGATAACCCTCAGTCATGTTGGCAGGGAAGCAAATAAGAAATGCAGGAGTAGTTAGGCTGTTTGAGTAAAAGAGGAACTATATTTCATGTTCCTCTCTGCAACACCAGCTGACATATCAACGAGTTTCTACAAGACACTACACGGCCACTACAAGTTCCCGCCTCCTGCCTGCCTCTGGTTGGCTCATACTCCCCTATCTCGCTGCCTATTGGCTGCTGGCAGTGTCACTCACTAACTGATAGCTAGCCGTGATAGATAACGCTTTAGGCGAATTCAGAGAAAACTGCCTTAAAACGTAACGTAGAAAGTTCAAAGCTGGTTTAAACAACGCGGAATAAGTGTCGGAACTCACCTGCTAACGTGTTATGGTGGCTGTAGCTAAGGAATCCGCCATAAACTGAGAAAAACACAAACTTTTTACAAGTTAAACGGGAGATTCTGCCGCACCTTGTACAGGGACTCAAACCAAGATCATTTGTTACAACAAGAGGAGTGACTCTGTGGTTAAAAACGAAGCCAGGAAACGGGCCTGGATTGAATTATTCCTTCTAATAAAACTACAAATAAATACAATGAATCAATACTGTTTGTAGTAGGTTGGTTAGTTAGTCAAACTGTACTTCAAATGTAGTCATATCAGATTTAAAATACAGCTTTTACAAACAGTTCACGGCTTTACAGACTCGGGAAACAGACGCGGAGTGATATATCTTACCTATTCCTCTCATCTTTGATAACGTTAACCGGATGTGATGTCACGGAATTCCTTGTATTCCTTTAAATTGAGTTTTGTATTGGTTTTAACTTAACAACCATAGTTATAATTATACTGTTTTTAAAATGAGAAAAAAATATAAGTGATAAACAATTAAATTATAAAGAATAGACTTAGAATATAAATGTTTTTCTTGAAATTATTATGATTATATTTAACATACCAAAAATGTAAATAATAACCCTAAAAAAGTGGATGCGTTGATAACTGTATACAAAATCAAAGTATACATTTATTTAAAAAATGAATGGAGTAATAGGAGTATAATTAATTTTATCAATAATTTAATACATTTGCAATATTTATGGGGTAAAATATAGTATAAAACATTTATATTTATAGATTTCACCTACCTGCAGTTCCACTGTTTGTCCCGCAGATGGCGCCATTTCATCACTTTCTCCACTTCTGTTAACCAGATCACTGTCTGTATACAATGAGGTTAAATAACTACATTAAACACCCCTGAATTTCCCTTTAAAACACCTCAAAAGTGACTTAAAGTTATAAATATGTTCTTTTATTGCACCTTTAATTATATTATACCTTTAATTATATTATAATTAAATTATACGTGTTTATTATCCCTGTCGACGGTAAGAATTTGGTTTTATTTGTAGAAAAACAACAGGTGTTATGAATCAAATTGAATAAACCCGGGTTCCATGATGAGGGCCTCTTCGGCCTCATGTTGTTTTAGGTTATGATAATCAGAGGTCAGAGGTCAGCTCCGCGTCTCCAATTGCTCATTTGGTTTTTCTGAGTTTCTCTAACAAATGCTTTTGTGGTTTTTCTTCTCAAATTGAGAGACTTTTTCAACTCGAAAAACTCAGGTTGTTTCCATATTTGAGGGCTTTCAGAGGGTGAGAAGCTGCTAACATACAAAAGTGATGTTTAAAACGTGTCTCCTGTGGTATTTAGGGACTTTTATTCTGAAATATCAGTGATTTATTTGCTATAACAAACACAGGCTCAGGTTAATTAAATATTTGGAGTCTTTTTTAGGATTATAATTAGATAAATTAATACAATGCGTGTTATTGATCATGTCCTGCAGGTGACTTTTATTCTGGTATTTATTACATTTCCTTTAAAGATTATATTTAACTTTTGGTCACTGAACCCTTTGCAATAACAGCATGTCACTGTGATTGGTCCCGAGGTCACTTAGCCCCGCCCCCTTCTCTCTTTAACCCCTATCCATCTGCTAATTAAAGGATCCCAAAAGTCTAATTAGTGACAAAAAGAAGCACACTTTGTCTCTAAACTGGGTTTTTTGGGGGGTCTTGAGAAGTGATTGGTCCTGGGGGAGTGTCACGAAGCCCCGCCCCCTCTACCCTAAGCCCCGCCCCCTGGCTTTGGCCCCTGTATATAAAAGTTTCCTCTCAGTGTTTGGGCTGTGAGTGTCAGAGGCAGCATGGAAACACCTCCCTGTGCAGAGGAGGAACAACATGGAGTCACTTTCATCTGGAAGGACCAGACTGCTCCTTCTGCTGCGGGACGGGATGCTGTGAGGAGAGACGCCGTTTAACCCGGGATACTGAGGACCATAACCCGGGATAAACCTGGGATAAACCTGGGATACAGAGGACATCAAGACCCTGCACACAGAGGATATATTACCCGGGATAAAGAGAGAATACTGCAGGGAAAAGAGGACCAAACAACCCTGCAATAAGAGGACAGATAACCCGGGATAAACAGTGAGGAAAACAGAGATAAAGAGGACCATATAACCCGGGATAAAGAAGGACTAACGTCTGGAAAAAGAGGACTTTAATCCGGGTAAAACAGGACATATACCCGGGATAAAGTGTGAGAAAACTCGGGAGTAAAGAGGACCATATAACCCAGGTTCAAAAGTGAATCAAACCCGGGATAAAGGGAGAGAAGACACGGGATAAAGAGGACAGAAAGCCGGGATAAGTAGCGTGTATATACCCCGGGATAACGAGCCTTTCTAACCCGGGTTAAAGCGGACCGCAGCGCCATGTGAGCGCAGTGTTTGGATCTTTACATCCACAGAAACTCAGAGAAAGTTTCCTCTTCTTCTTCTCTCGGAAAATGAGGATCTGTTTCTTCCGCCTCCTCGCTCTCTTCGTGGCTGCCGCGTCCCTGCGCACCGCTGACGCGTCACTGCGCGCCTCTTCAACCGCGTCGATGGACGGCTGCGCGTCGTGCGGCGTCGACTCTGCAGCCGTGCGCAGTGACGCGGCAGAAGCGGCGTTGCTGCGCGGAGACTTTCTGGAGGCGGTGAAGCGGCACATCCTCACGCGCCTGCAGATGCGCGAGAGACCCAACATCACGCACCCGGTGTCGCGAGCTGCCATGGTGACGGCGCTGCGCAAGCTGCACGCGGGGAAGGTGCGCGAGGACGGCCGCGTGGAGATCCCCAACCTGGACGGGCACGCGATGAGCAACGAGGTGCACGAGGACTCCGAGATCATCAGCTTCGCGGAGAGAGGTGCGGCAAGAAGGATACATGGAGTTTATATGAGAGACATGTGACTTTATTACATTTTAAACACTTAAATATAACTCCACAACAGACAGGATGTGACAGAGAGAGAGATCCCACTCTAAGGAACATTAGGGAATACATTCATGTTCAATTCTATTGAGACATCTGTCATTTTAACGACTGACACCTGAAAAGTGTGGAAAATAACATTTAACACACATTTGATTATAAATAACTCAAAAAGACAAGAGTTCTCACTTTAGGAACATTTGAGGTAAACATGATTTTTAACCTCAGAGTTAAACCTGATTCTGGGGGAAATCAACATGTTCTTAAAGACAGAACGCTTGTTCTGGGTTTCAGTGAGAAAGGTTTGATTCTTGGGATCTTTTGGCTGTTTTTGTGCATTTAACGAGGAAAGCTGTGATTTCTTGGTTGTTGTAAAAAAGTATTTAGATTTTCTGTAGATGCGTTTTCTGCAGGAGATTAGAGTGAAGTGTCCTTGCATCAAAACAAACCTGTATTTGAAGCCTCGTGTTTTCTTCAGTCTGGAACAGTTGCATCACGTGGAGAGAAACAACAACATTATTTTAGGTGATTTTCAGCTTTTTATACGGAAAAAGGGATTTGGGGAAATATTGTGCTTTTGGCTGCAGCGTGTTCTCAAAGTTAGATTTAGTCGAGATATGTTTTGCAGCAGTTTTTGCAGAGAACAGGATCCAAGGTGTCTGTGCAGCTGAGTTAGTCTTTGCAAGGAGAAGGAGATGCACGAGCTGATCTGAGTTCAGATCCTGAAGAGCATCCGCCTCTGTTTGAGGAACAATGGGAATACAAGTGAGTTCTCTTTGGGCGTGATGGCTCTCTGGGGGAGCGTAAAGGAGACAGGACACTTGTTGTACTCTGTGAAATACAATATCAGGTGTGTGTGTGTGTGTGTGTGTGTGTGTGTGTGTGTGTGTGTGTGTGTGTGTGTGTGTGTGTGTGTGTGTGTGTGTGTGTGGCAGTCTTTATGTGCTGCGGCTGAACGAGACCCAGACAACGAGCTGATGGTGAACAGATGTTGAACGCCCCGCCAAAATACAAGCGTGTGTGCAAACAGCTGTCTGTTGAGCTGATCCTGTCTGTCATCACCTTCACAGAGAGAGAGAGAGTGTGTGTGTGTGTGTGTGTGTGTGTGTGTGTGGGAGTGTGTCTGTGTGTCTGTGTGTGTGTGTGTGGGAGTGTGTGTGTGTTTGAGGGTATTGTAGAGTCTGTGTGTGGGGTGTGTGTGGGAGTGTGTCTGTGTGTGTGTGTGGGAGTGTGTGTGTGTTTGAGGGTATTGTAGAGTGTGTGTGTGTGTCTGTGTGTGTGTGGGGGGGGGAGTGTGTGTGTGTGTGTGTTTGAGGGTATTGTAGAGTGTGTGTGTGTGTCTGTGTGTGTGTGGGGGGGAGTGTGTGTGTGTGGGAGTGTGTGTGTGTGTGTTGAGGGTATTGTAGAGTGTGTGTGTGTGTGTGGGGGGGTGATGGGTGTGATGGCGAGTGTGTGTGGGTGTATTTGGAGGGTATTCGTCACGCAGTGCCGTGTGTGTTGCGGGGGGGGGGGAGTGTGTGTGTGTGGGAGTGTGTGTGTCTGTGTGTGTGTGTGTGTGTGTGTGTGTGTGTTGTGTGGGGCGTGTGTGTTGTTTGTTGGCGGGTCTTGTCGCGTGTGACGTGGGTGTGATTGCTTGGGGGGGGGGCCGTGTGTGTGTGTGTGGTGGGGCGTGTGTGTAGTGGGGTGGTCCTGTGTGTGGTGGTCCTTGTGTGAGTGTCCTGTGTGTTGGGGGTGGGAGCTGGTTGGTGTGGGTTGGGTGTGTGTGTGGGAGAGTGTGTGTGTGTGTGGTGTGTGTGTGGTGTGTGGTGTGTGTGTGAGTGTGTGTGTCTGTGTGTGTGGTGTGTGATGTGGTGGTGTGTGTGTGTGTGTGTGTGTGTGTGTGTGTGTGTGTGTGTGTGTGTGTGTGTGATCTAAAGGTAAAGCAACAGGCTTCAGAGGCTGGTCGTCTCCTCTAAAGTGTGTAGGACGTGTCGCTGCAGCTCCGGTCCATCTGAAGACCGTTAGGTGCAGGGAGATGAAGCATGGTTGGGTTTCTCTCATGGTGCATTAAAGTGCTTGATATAAAGTTGGACATCTAAACATCCAGGCCTCCCTCTCCCTGTGTTCACTTGTATCCCAGTTTAAAGAGGCGAACAGCATTTAAAGGCATTTGGCACGAACAACCTGATTGAGCCG